CTCTTTCATTTCTTCGTGTTTTCAGTTTCATACACGCATAAATTCATCGCGAAGGTTATTTTCGATTCTTGATTTTCGCATTTCGCCCACCGGGTGTGGTGAAAATTATATAACCGCGAGATTTCCTCATCGTACTATGCCAGTGAACAAAATACTTCTTTATTATTTGCTCGCATAATGAACACGATTCTCATTTTCGCATATATGTATATTATCGGATGGAATATCAAATGGAGTGTCTCAATATCACTCTCATGCGTTAAATAATAATTATAAACATCGACGGGAAAAAATAATCCTAGTTAATTATAGCTGGTGGCGCGTATTTGTTTTTGCGTTAATTTTAATAAATTTTTCTAAATATGAATGCCAACTCCAAGAGTTCGAAGGAAGCGATAGAAAATATAAATACATAGATGAATAAACGTCAAAAAGCGAAATGTGATTTTAAGATATATGTGTCTTTGCCGCGAGATATTTACCGTAAAACGCTAATTATTTTCATTATGTTCTCATTTACGAGACGACGATATTTTCTGTTTCAGCGATGTGACGCAACCAGTCAGGAATATTTTTATGCAAAATGACTCGCGCCCTTGTCCTTCTCTGCATGGCCATCATTCTACCTCTCTTACGATGCCACAAGGTAAGATGCCCAAGGATATGCTGTTATCCTACATGCAATTACTTCTTTTAAGACAAAGAGAGCATGTGTGTGCGTGCGTGCGCACAGAGGTAATTTTACCGAATTTAAAACGACCACACAAAATACGATGACGACTTTTAATTATTAATCGTCGCTAAAACAAGGAAAGTTCACGGTACGCAAAGCAGTACGTCTTCTTACGACTTACACGCATATCTTTATTTTTTTTTATCACGTTAAATCTTGTTCTTTTTGCTTCTTATCCTCGATTTGCTGTGTAAATTCTACACAACAATTTCAAATGTCTCGTTGTTAAAAGATTCTTTATGGTATGTTTCTTTACGCGAACTTTAATTTATATATACGGCTTTAATGTTCGAATATTATTTAGCACGTAATGGCACGCAAGGAATTAATTAGCTTGAAGCTCGGTAATGTAGGTGAGGAATATTAATGATGCATCATAACTTCGCGGATTGCTCGCAGTAAACGCCGCATGGGTGCGCCGAGTATTTACGAGAAAATTACTTCGACGATCATCGACGATCGCGCTTATAAAAATTTGTCATAATACGATCCGCTTTTTATATGAAATTTTTATTTTCGATTATTTAATCGGAAAAATAAAAAATTATATATACAAATTAAATTTTTTGTTTTCTTTTTTTCTTGATAATTGATTCGATATGTCAGGAAAAAAATCATGTATCTAATCTAAGTATTATATAAATGGGAGATACGACAAGCGGTACATTTAATTAGATTAAAATCTGCATGCATGTTTTTTTTTTGACATCAATTTATTTTATTTTTGATGTATGTTATTTTATGTATGATCTTCTTTCTTATTGTTAGAAAGATTGCCGAAAAACACGCATTTTTACGCTTGTAAGATGATACTTGTTAACAAGAGATATAAACTGGATTACGCTAGGTGTCAATGATTGCCTCGTAATTAAGAAAGCGCGTGAAAAACGAAAGAATTACGATTAATGGTACGTTACGATTCCAGCACGCGTCGGTCGAGCGCGTCATCTTGTCGTAGATAATCATCACAAACGTGGTCAACGGCCGGTTCTCCTCTAACTTACGTAAGAACTTTGCGCACGAAATTGCAATAAAATCATCGAACCGTTCGATGCTGTTTAGCTGTATCGCCTTGCTTTCGATTTTTTTTTTTTCCCGAGAAATTTCAACGAATAATAATTGTGCGATTTTGATAATGACATCCCACACATGCGAGATAACGATTAACAAGCAGGAAAGTCAAGAAGAAAAGCGAAAAATAGATAAATAGTTGAGGCAAGATGCCGGTGAAAATATTATGAAACTGAGCATGTATTAATAAAAATATCAGTACGCCTTATGATTAGCCTTCGTGAGCGAGTGCTTATTATCGGCAAAGCGCGAAAGATGGGAAAAGATCCTGATACGTTAAACACTGTAATTAGACAAAAAGTCTTTAGTCTTTGCACTTCTGTCAATGATCGAGTCATCGCGGATATGCATCGCGAAGTCGGTCATCGACTGTCCGCCGACTTATGTAAATGTCTCGCTGTTAGAAACACAATATACAAATAATTACTTTCTTAGAGAGTTTCCAGAGTGAAACGTTATTTCCGGCAGCCGTTCCACATGATTTACATGATTTCGAGATGTATTTATTGGACGGGAAAGACCGAAAGCGAAACCGGAACGCGTTCCTAGCTCCGAGAGAGTAATCCACTTTTCACACAAGAGGTAGGACAATAGCGACGTTTCTATCGATCGATGATTATGCGCTCATAGACGCGTGAAATACAATATTCGATTGAAATGGGTGGCTCGCCGTTACGGTTAACGAGTATTACACAATTAATTGCCGGGACTAACATAAGAAGCCATCGTCGTCGTGAGAAATTCTCGGTTACCTGGCCTATGCGATTTGATACGGAATGGCCGATGTTATATTTGATTCAAGGCAAGTGTTTGGGAGTCGACCTCGACAAGATCGTCCGAAACTGAGAGACGCTCAGACTTGAGAAATGGATGTAGCGTGAATCCGAAGATCCGCTGGCGGAACGGGTTAGGATGATAAACTCATCTGATCGTTTTTGTTTTCGCGACTACTTTCGGAAATCTTCGAATATGTCCTTCTAATTACTGCCTTTTCCGCGTTTCAGAAATCTTGAAGAACTTCTTGCTAGAAGCTCTCGCGAGATAGGAAATCTTGAACGCGGACGCCGGAGATCTTTAGCGCGAAGACACTCGCGATACGATTAACTATCGTCGACTCTCGAACTCCCAACTTTCACACGTTTACAATATCTTAACAATAAAGAATTAAAGAATAATATTGAATACACTAAAGGATTGACCGCCGCGAGAAAGCCATGTGAAAAGCGATCGAATGCGAGATACTTCGTAATGAGCGTGAGACGACGGCAGAAACGACATGAGCGAGAATAACGATAAGAGAAAAATGATAACGATCGATGAATTTTGACCGGCTCGAATCGTCGTCGTAGGCAGACTAAATCGATCGATTGCGAATGCTCGCGCTCTGCCGATAGCAATAAGAAAGGTTTTTCGACGAGAATTTGCTGTTTGTCACAATTTTTTAGCTCGAAGGGCAGCGCACGAGCAGCAAATAAGCTGAACGCGATGTTATTTACTCGCTCGTGTTTTGATTTATCAATGGTTACCAGTTTAAATATCTTAAGCGAAAAGCGAAAACCGTTCGAATAAACAGCTAATTAAAAAAGAATTAATAATACGTGTAAAAATTAAAAATTTTACGCAAAAATTACGTATTTGATAAAAATGTGATATTTATTAATTGATCATCTTTTTAAGTAAGAAGGAATTTTTGGACATTAGTTTCTTGAAGAAATAAATACACTTGACGCTTTGTTAGAAATAAAACTATCGTTTGTACGAGCGCAAATCGATCAACTCTCGATCGAGCACTCTAGTAAAGTAATGAGCGAAAGTGATCGACCTTAGGAGCCCCAGAGCCCCTTTGATCGTTTCGCTGCAGCTCGATTTCTGCGACACCACGTGTAAGTAAATGCTGCTAAATGGTAGAAGAAGACCTTGAAATGCGATTGGAAAACTGGAGAATATGCACGCATACCCGTCGATTACAGAACCGTCGTTGTAAAACCGGACGAGCCGTGATTCTGAGAACACTTGAAAAATCGCTTTGCTTTGAATAAAGCCTATCGATCAATTACAATGTTTGTGAAGTCGCGAGCATAATTTGAAATTACCATATTGAATATAATTTGAATATTAATGCACAGCTAATTATTTAATTATTTTTAACTAAACAATTATTAATTATCTATCTATATTATATTAAAATATAAAATATCTTTTGACGTTCCGTTCCTTCCGGCGACGCGGTGTAATAAAAAAAAATGACTAAAACATCAGGTCATCGACTAATGCGATTCTAACACAAATGGTGGGGACGCGTCAAGGATAATCGTTGTCAGAACAGCCTATCTTAATTTCATATGCGCGATATCTCTCAATGGAAAATGTATGTATTCTCATCTGCTTCTTGTGAAATTTGGAGTTTGCCTTTCTTCGATCAAAAAATCTCGAGGAAAAATTATCATTTTTCACACAACTAAGCATATTAAACAAGTGAATTAAAAAATTTTCTTGAAATAAAATCTACGCCAAGTTTAATCGGGTGAACAAATTTTCGCCGAGTTTTTTTTCTATATGGCAAATTTCCATTCTTACACTCTTCCCTATTTTTGACGCGTCCCAAAGAAATCGGATATCAGCAACGCAAATATTTTTCGTTTCTCGACGCTGTTAAACTCAAATTCTCCATCGTGAATCATTCTCGATGAATATTTATTAACTTCATCATCGTACGAGAATATGAAATTGGAAGATCGTCGTATCGATGACCTTAGAAAGGGCTTCCCGTCGCCGGCCTCTCGTGTTAAATGACCGTGGGTATTTTAGCGACAGCTACACCATGAGGAATTGATCGCGAAAAAAAGACCCCCTCATTAATCTTAAAATCCCCTAATTATAAATTGCGAACGCTGATACCAACAACGTGGTAATATTACGCTAACATTATACGACGCGTAAAACATATTGTTCAAAAGGTATCTTAGTATTTAAAGGAAAGGAATTGTTTAACATCCCTCTCGTTGGGATAATCTTCGAGTGGATGTATAAACATGCGTTTTAAAAATATTCCTAAAACCGTAGTGCCGCCGTACGAAGTCGTGCCTGTGTTGCATACGGTGCACAAAAGGAGTGTGGACGCGAAACCACAGATTCATCTGAAGGCCTTCGGCAAAGATATCAGCCTTTCGTTAAAGCCCACGAAAGGCTTGTTGACGGCCAACAGCCTGCCAATGTGGACCGTCACCAGAAATACATCGCAACCCGACGGCCTTCATTATGAGAGGGTAAAGGATGTAAGTGATCTCTTTTAATTATCGGGATCTTACAATCTTTCTAAACTTAAATTCTTCTGTCTTTTAATATTAACGATTATCAGTCTAGAATGTCCGGAAAGATCAATTAGTGCTATAAAAAGATAGTGCTATAGAATTAGTTGCAATTTTTTGAATTTTCTAATTTGCAGAATGTTTTAAAAAATCGATTTTTGAGAGTTATTTAATTATTTAGTTATTTAATATATTACATATTTGATTATTTTATTTCTAAATTGAATTTCTTTTATTGTTCCACTTATTTTAGGTTGATGTGGATATCGGTGACATTTATCAAGACACGGAGAACATGGCTTCCATTCTACTACACCGGGACACGAATGGGAAAGTGCGCGTTGTAAGTGGCCATTCTTTCTTAATGTCCCTTTCGTCACTACCCCATTATTACGGGTCCGTCTTTCGTCAATCCGACACGACTCGCTTAGGGCCTGTATGTTATAATTATAGCAATATCGCAATTCGTTCTATACAGCCCAGCTGTAACATTTTTACAATTAGATATATATAAAGTAATTACTAAAAACAATCGCTGATACAATTTCGGTGAAAAATTGCACGATGGTAATTAATGAGCGACTTATTCGTTTTCTTACAGCCAAGTTAAACCACGTAAACATAATTTGTTAATTTATTTAACGAGAATATATGTAGATTACCTTATATGTATGTAATGCTTATTAATTTTTATTAAATGTGAAATTAATGCTTTTTTATCTTTCGCTGTAAGATTGATTTATGATTGATCGGAAACCACCGACTAACACTGGAGACGATTGCGTATATGTTGAATATCGCGAAGATTTATTATATGTAATTAAAATGTTGGGGCGGGTTTTATCTCGCTGCCGCCGAACATTCGTATACAGAATTTCTGGAATGCCGTCCCATCGAATATGATCATCGAGTATGATCGTCATGAGTTATGATAATTATATTTTATGGATAATAATAAATAATCTAGCAATTTTGCTTTCTTCGCGAGACAATCGTAAACTGCTCTATCATAATGATCAAAGTGGATTTAATAAGTAATCTTAATAAACAGTTACATTTTTTATTTATATTTAAGAGATGAACATTTTTGTGAAAAATAAATGTCGATATTTTTATTATTATAAATGATCAGAAAATCTTTTTGCGAATTAAACTTGGTAAATTTTTATTCTCTTTAGCCGATTCTTTCAAGAAATTTTAACTTTTATGTCTCAATCATAGTTAATCGACGTTTGATATTGAAAATCGAAAGATTACGTAGCTTAGGCTGCATAATCACGAGTATTATCGTGACACATATAATCGCGACGTTATATACAAAGTGTGTGCAGCGAGGCATACAAGGCGAGGTTACTTAAATACCGCGATTTTGACATTTCCCCTTTGCGCTCGCAACCGACGTTTTCTTCTCGGAATAAAGTCCTATGAAGAAGATATATGTGTTTGCAAGATAGAAGCCAATAAACTTCTCTTCGCATCTATCCTACCTTTCGCCGCGGTCTGCAATTTTGAGAGAGAAAGAAGGGAAGGATGTTGTTCCTAATAATTCCGCGTTCAAATGAGCGTGACTTGATTTCTCTTACCAAGTTCTTATTAATTGCCGTCCTTATAAGGAAGCAATACGCTGTATACAGTATTTTCCTCATATTTGCATTTAACACATACGTAAATTTGACGATCTACATTATGTTATGGCAGCAAATATCGCAATGATTCCCATAATGTGACTTGAATCGAGGAGCTCTTACAAAACACTAAAGTTCTAAAATTTTGAAAGTTTCAAAAGTTACATGTGTGAATTTCCGCTATATTTAAAACGAGACAAATTGATCACGCTAATTGATTGTCTCCGCACATTGTCGCGGTAATTTAATTAGTTATTCTTAATTACATGGTGTTAAAATCTCGAAGCTTTGTGCAGAAATCAACTCGAAAATTTCGTAAGAAACGTGAATCGCCAATTCTGGAATATTCGCGTATCTTATCGGGAAAAGATCGTTATATACGATCTCTAAATTACGCGCTCTTACGGGCGAGATTGTTACGTCGTGATATAAATGTGAGTAATATACCTGGTATGCACGCGCGGGGGTGAACGCCACGAATATATTACAATTACGCGCGTTATACCTTATAGGAGTCGTGAAAGTTAATATCGTTTCAACTACGAAAGAACTTCTCCCATTCATCACACCTGCATAAGGATTTGTGACCGAGACGATAGGATCGATCTCGCGGCTCAACGGCGGTTTGTGCGTGGGAGTTTCGATGAAATTTTTTAATGAAGGCGAAGCCTCGTAACGTCGTCCGAACGCGGGCTTGTACGTAATATCGCCTGGTTACATAATACGCCGTATAAAAGCGTTGTTCTAAGTGACCCCTCGTAGTGTCCTGACCTTTCGCTTTCATTCTCCCTCCCTCGAGATCTGACCAATGCACCTCTCGCAGATCGAACGGCTCGATCGTGCCCGGATCGGGAATATCGCGCTTGCGAATAATTCGCCTCGCTGCAAAACGTTTGTTAAAAATCTACGAAGGAAACGCTCGATTTAACACACATCTCAACTAATGCAACGTGACTCATACACCATATTATTTCTATGTACAGTTTAATTTTTACATAATTCAAAGAATGCTAAAAGATACAAATCTGAGATAATTTTAAGTATAGAATAACAGGTATATCATATTGAACAATTAAATCTTTTTGTTCAGGACGGAACCATCGGTTCAGAATTAGTTATTCGACCACTGCCAGAACGAGTTTTACAGGAAGTAATGAGCGAGGCATCAGCCCTCCACGAACCCGAATTACTGCCCAATGTAACTAGAAGCGAAAACTTAAAACGCACAAGTCATCATATCGTTTTTAAAAAAATTGATCGATCTGTCGGCGATGAATATAACGATTTTTGTAAGTATATTATGCGTTATCGGAATTTTTGCATAGCTTTCATTTGAGTTTTATGTAAAGTATATAAATTAATTTTTATATTAGATTGAATATAATATTAAAAAAACATTGTAAAATTACAAATACGAGCGCGAATGTTTCGCAGCGTTTATGGAGCCGGATCACTTAGCCAAGAGATACAGAAGCAAACGTTCGATCAATAACAGATCGAAGCGTGAAGCACCGTACGTTATTTACCCGGAAATCCTCTGCATTGTGGATTATGACGGGTACAGGTGAGTCGACTAATATATCATTAAAGCTGCTTAAAGCAGCAAATATTCACGATTAAATAATAAATATTCTTTTCTTTGTACAGATATTATGCGAAAATTTGCATTTATAATCTCGAATACATTTGCGCGCTTAAACAGATACAATCTTCTCTCTTGTTTCAGATTGCACGGCGGTGACAACGTACAGATAAAGAGATACTTCGTATCCTTTTGGAACGGAGTAGATCTGAGGTATAAGTTACTGAAAGGGCCAAAAATACGTATCAGTATAGCGGGAATAATTATTTCACGGGTAAGAGACACGGTAGCGGTATTAATTTATTTGCCTTTAATAAACTATGATTTTTTCTTTCCTAGCACGATAAGTAGATTTTTTTTAAAATGTATATACGAATTTTTTTATTTTTTCACTTTTAATTTTGTCGAATCTCCTAAACACATTCCTTGATTTATTAAAAAATAAAATTGTATTATGTTATATCCAAAGGGACGAGACGCGACGCCGTATTTGGAAAGAAATCGCGTGGGAAGAGACGCAATTGACTCGGCAGCTGCTCTCACTGACATGGGCAAATATCTTTTCCGGGAGAGGAGACTTCCTGTATACGACATCGCCGTTGCCGTTACAAAGTAAGAGTGTCCAATTCATAAAACGCGATTTACATTACATCAACTACGTTAATTCAAGTCACAAAAGAGTGCCCGCAGCTGAAAAACGATGCTCTTTGACAATCCAGATTTTTTTTTTATTTATTATTTTCGACGACGAGCACTTTATTAACTCTATGACGTAACGAGAGAAACATGATATGGTAATGCACATTATGAATTGTGCATTGGATTTCTTAGTAAACGTATAGCAGTTAATTTCAATTCTTTCCGTTTTTATGTAAACGATAATATTATTTATAATTCTCACGTTTTATCCATGATAATTTCATACTCTCGATTTTTATCCCGCAAAACAGGTATGATATGTGCCGTCGTAGGAAAGGCGGCCGCTGCACTAAGGGAACTGCCGGTATGGTTTATTACATAGTGATCACACGCTTCATTTTTTTCTAAACTTTTGTAATCCATTTTCCATGGTATCCTCGCTGGCTTGTATATAGTTTGTCGGTATTATTGACGATACAGTAATGGTATCTAACAGGTAGTAGCGTTAATTAGCCCTTAGAAAGTCTCTCGAGGAAGATATTTTTTTATGCGAGAATCAGCATGTATTGTTTAATATTTTAATTCATGAGACGAGTGGGTGCATCATGTCAGCGAAAAGAACTTTTTGACACTCTTGAAAACATTTGGAACAAGAATATCTCCCTCGCCTGACTCCATAATATATAGGTAACGAGTGAAATTAGGGACTTGCAATCAATTTGCGCGACAATGCACCAGTATCACCAGAGCTTTTTATGCACACGCTCAAACGAGGAGCGGGTATGGTAATTACGGGTACACTAATATTGATTTAATTAACAACACGTGATTATCTCACGAACGTCTTGTTATCGTAACACCGGATTATCGTGTCGTAATACCGCATATGAAAACGCTTCCGAATATCCTTGATTCCGGATAAACTTGAAAAAAAAAAACGTATCACTGAATATATGCGAAAATATCTCCAAACAGATCCTTTTAACATTTGCATCGACAAGTCGTAAAAATCAATTTGAGTCTCTTGTGACTCTTTAAAAATGTGCTTATATAGTGATTTGCAATTCAAATTATTTATATAAACTACATAAATACAAAATATCTAAATTGCATAATTCTGCGTGAATTGAGAACTGATCTAATATTTAGTCGCGATTTTTGTTCCGCTGACAGGCTCGATAGAAATGTTAGATCACAAAATTAATTAATTGATTTCGACGCGCGCACGTGCGATGCAAGCGATCACCGCTTAATCAACGATTATTTATTTACGCACTAAGATCGCATAGTATGTTTTCACTTTTATTTTTTGTTTAATGTTTCAAGACACACGTATGCTTCCACAACACGCGTGTATATTTAAGATACATGCCTTCTGCCTCCGATGAGAAGAGCGTTTTTTATGCGGAGAATTTGTGACTGAAGGCTGAAACCGGTACAATTTCGGTGCGTTTAATTCTTGATACATACGAAAAAATGTCCTTACATCGAACGATTTTATCGTCACGAACACATGTGGACATTACTTCTCTTTTATGTGTCTATAGTACCGAAATTTGTCACCTCGCCAAAATTATACCAGTTTCAAATGACGTGATCTTGCGACAGTTTTGCTTCGCGGGTGGTTGCTTTTGATCACACGCAAATCGGCATTATTGATTGTCGCATAAGCACTGTCGATTTTTTTCTCAAAATGCAGGATAATGTTACACTTCTTATACGGTAGCGGTTTTCTCGAGAGGATGATTATCATTCATATTCTGAAATCTACTGAAATATATGAATCGAATCGTTTCGTATCTCATCTTCCAGCTTCCGTCCTAGCGACAGACATGATTCCGTGTATTTATGCTTACTTATTTCTTCTTCTTTTTTTTTTTTTTTTTATTATTTTACACAGTCGTAAGAACTGATCCGAGCGGCCGAGTCTCACCGTCTGTCCCGTGACCAGGTCAGAAATATTTGCCGAGTATGAATTTATATGATAAAGAGTATTTTTGTTATTGCATTGCAGATTAGATATGTGCAGGAGGCAATACGCGAATGATGTGTGCAATAGAGGAACCGCAGGTACGTTTTTTTTTCTCGGATCAAGAAGAGGAAATTTTTTTTGTTTTAGCTTTCTCAACTTTTAAGTCTTGCACATGTACACTATCTTAGTCTGAATTTCCAGATATCCAATCGAGAAAGATAGAAAGAGATTTACGAAAATAATAAATTAAAGATATGTAAATTAAATAAAAGCTAGATAAATATTTAAAAATAAATTTGTTACATTTTGTAGAATGTCAAGATTTCTCTGTTTTTACCATTTTGAATTTTTTGAGATTTAGGAAACAATTATTCAAAGAGCTTGCTTTATATATTTTACTTATTTTTATATTTATTTATCTAAATATATTTTCTTCTAATGGGTATGCCTTATACTTTTCTCTACTTTATACGTGAATCATATAGATTACAATTCTGCAACAAGAATTGCATCAAGCAATTGCCTCTTTCGAACTCTGCTGTTCCCTCGCACAGTCGCTTAAACTTTACTTTTATATGTGTTTATATCTATTGCATATATGCAAGGTCTCAATGTTTATACAATGGCGGATCCGAGACGATCTTTTTTTCGGCGCATTATGAAATTCGATGATATTCTTATATTTTCGATATATTATTAGAAAAAGATCAATATAAAAAGAAATAAATGCGTAAAATTTAATTAAATATCTTTTATATTCGATTATATATATAATCCGCCACTGTATCATTTACACAAACTATTACAATATTTCTGCATTTATGTACATATTTATTATTTCACGATCTTATACATTGAAAATCGTTCGCGAATTTGATAACACACGTTTCACATATGGCGAAAAGCACGCAATGTCATCGCCAAAAAAGGAACGATCGTTCAAAATTTAATTTTCTATTATCTTTTTCTCTCTTTTTTTTTTATATCGCCTATATACTCTTTGTTCTGAATAATCTCTCCCGAATAATTCACGACTCTTGTATCTTTGGCTGCATTACTGTCACGGATCGTGGTCTTTGGTAAGTCTTTGAAATCATAGCGACTCTAAATACGTCAAGAGATGTATTTTTCATGCCGGGGAATTATCGCCGGTGTATTTTCCATTCAGGGAATGCGAAAGGGATGACATTCTAATTCAGCCGGTTCGCCACACAAACACCCCTTAAACTATATGATATAAACTATCTGATATTCCGGCTAAATTTCTCGTTAACTAATTGGGCGCGACGAATTAATACCGGATGCATGCCGCATATATGTATCGATAATTACTTAATTTTAACACACTTACTCGAGCGAATTAATATTATTATTAATTCTCATAATTCGAACGCTCTCAAATAAAATAATATTTATGGCAAATTAACAACAAGCGTGCTTCTTCATTCTGAACGTAAATATCGAAACTCGATTGATAAAATCGATCGATTATACTTCCGAGTAATCATTCGATCGAATTTTTGCCCGAGTTTATGGTAGAAATACGCTTCTATGCCAGTTCCTCTGGTCAGATACTAATTTAACGAGACAGCTTGTTTAACGCCAACAATCTTAGTTGTAACGAATTAGTTCTATTCGAGACATGCATTGAAGGAGAGCAAAGTGCTGAAACGTATTAAAAGATCTTTTCTGCATACAGGATTCGCCTATGTTGGCGGAGCGTGCGTCGTAAATAAGCGTCTCGAAAAAGTGAATTCGGTCGCTATCATCGAGGATACTGGTGGATTCAGCGGTATCATCGTCGCTGCGCACGAAGTGGGCCATCTGTAAGTACTCGAGATTATTTTGATTACGAATCTTTTCCCGATCTTTTCTATCCACCTGTTTACACTCGCCTATCAGCTCTGCTTTTACCTCAGAAAATCGATTATATCGTATACGATTGCGTTGTAGATTGGGCGCCGTTCATGACGGTTCACCTCCGCCGAGTTATCTAGGTGGACCGGGCGCCGAGAAGTGTCGATGGGAAGATGGATACATCATGAGCGATCTTAGGCACACCGAGAAAGGCTTTAAATGGTCGCACTGCAGCGTGTCCTCCTTCCATCACTTTTTAAAGTAGGTAGTCTTCGTGTAACTCTGAAAATTGGATCTATCAATTAGAAAAATCTACTATTTAGAAAAATTGTTTTCATGTAAATAAATTTCTTTATTGCTCTTTTGTAGTAATTTTCGTTTATGTTTTAAATAAATTTTTTTAACAGACGCGATATATAAATGTGTATAAAAATGTCAATAATTATTATAAAGTAATATACCGTGCACACATTTAATCAATTTTTTAAAATAATATCCACGTTACTGCTAAACATTCTAGATCTTATAAAAAAAAAAAAAAAATCCGTTTTATTCTCTTAATAGTTTTTTTGATTTTTAGTGGTGATACAGCGACTTGTTTATACAATGCCCCTCACGAGGATGAGGCATTGCCCAGAGTACTTCCGGGAAAACTTTTATCCTTAGATGCGCAATGTCGGAAAGATCGTGGAACAAGCGCTTGTTTCGTACGTTTTTATTGTCTTTATACATTCACAATAAATTTTACAGTAATTTCCCTAGTTAATTTACACTCCACATATTTACATTTTATATTCGTTTACGTGATTTTAGAAAGACGATCGGGTTTGCGCTCAGCTATTCTGTTTTGATGCTGGATCCGGATACTGCGTGGCGTATCGTCCAGCAGCAGAAGGTTCGCCTTGCGGAGATGGTCAGGTAAAGCAAAATGAAATCTGCATGCTTTACAATAATAATATTTTCTCATTTCGAAAAAGTGTGTGCGTTTGCTTTTATGATATTTCTACAATAAATCCGTAATATAGCTTGTATAATGTCATGATATAGCTACCGTAAATACTGTCATAATGCGTAATTAACAACCAGAAGTGATCTCATAAATCTTGACAGATATGTGAACCAATGGCGCGGTATTGCGTTATGTAATTTTACGAGTCGAGATAATGTAATTCCGTATATATATATATATATATTATCCCGGAATTTCTTTGCACAGATGTTTAATCACACTGATGTTGATTTTTAGTACTGCCTGAATGGAAAGTGCGTGGCGGAGCACGAAAACATAATACCGGATTATACGCAGAACATTCCGACCTACGTACGCCGAGACAGCATATTTAATCCTACGCTGCATAATCGGCCGATATTCGCTCAGTATAACAACACAGACTACAGGTAATGCAGGTGGATTCTTTCTTTTCTCATAACAGGAACCGCGCATTGCGTAGATAGATTTTTTATTAATCTTTTAATGCAGTGCATATTTAAACGATCACACTGGAAATTACATATGTAAACACATTATGTCCTTTATTTAAGGATCAAACGTGAATCAACGTATTTATGATGCTGTTAATGCGTTATTTGACATAGTACAACGCAACGTACATAGATACACAGTTTTATGCAACGCATTATGTAGTAATGCCATAATGATATGCCACACAGGTATCCATGGGAATCAACGACACTGAGCACACCATTATCGAGTATAATCGCGTCGACGACACCGACGACAATAACGACACTATCGACTTACAAACGTGTCGCAATACCGGGCGTAACTACGCTGTCGAAATATACACAGACAACCGTTAATAATTTATACACCGATCGATATAAGACTAAATACAGTAGCAATAATAATAATAATAGCGGCATTGGTGGCGGCATCAGTACCACCACTCGGAGAAGCGTTACCAATTTCTTCAACTCGTACTACACTGTCAGTACCACTTCAAAGGTCATTAACGGTCCAAAAATTAATCCGTTCAAATATAAAAGCGTGATGTCACTTTCCACAACGACCAAAGGATATCAAAACGGCCTTCGAAATGACGGCCGCGGTAAGAGAATTCTGAATTAGATCTGTATCATCACGATATTTTTTTTTTCTCTGTCTCCTCAGGACCGAATGTTTAACTTTTGCATGTAATCATCTCTTGTCGTTAACGTCTGCACGGAATTCGATATAGTGTTCTCTTTCTACGTATCTCTTCTATTCTATTTACAATTCTTCGATGGCGAAGAATTCTCTGGAATTATCTGGAATCTGAAATTACGAGGAACTTTTCGAATGACATTGGTTCCGACTTCTGTGGTCTAGGTTGTTTTGTTGGTTTTACTCGGAGACATTTTCATCATTTTGTATAATATATTTGTTTTATTTTTATCTCTTTTATGTTACTAATGGAATAAGAGTTGCAGTTTTTTGTCTCATATATGATCGCTCTCATAAATCAATAAGAGTCTGTGATAATAGTTATCGTTAATTCCTTCTATTTCGTTAACACAGGTTCTCAAGTTTATCTTCAAAAGAACAAGATAATATCAATAAAATTAATACAGATATAT